GTCTTAAAATAGATAACCAGCAGTAAACTGTACATTACAATGCATTTATAGTAGTCTTAGATAACCAGCAGTGAACTGTACATTACAATGCATTTATAGTAAAGTCTTGGATAACCAGCAGTAAACTGTACATTACAATGCATTTATAGTAATGTTTTACATAACCAGCAGTAAACTGTACATTACAATGCATTTATAGTAAAGTCTTAGATAACCAGCAGTAAACTGTACATTACAATGCATTTATAGTAGTCTTAGATAACCAGCAGTGAATGGCCAATTACACATGAATGTACTATATATATAACAGTATTCAAAATTCAGATAACCAGTAGTAAATTGTACATCACATTGTACATCTCTGTAAATAACAGTAAATTGTACATTACAATGTAATTTGCTCTGATAATTGATAAGTCACTCAGATAACAATAAATTGTACATTATATTGTACAAGTCACTCTGATTACCAGCAATATAATTTACTATGTTCAGCCATTCTTAACTTACACCCAATCAGCAGATTTGCTGAAGTCAAGTATGATACTACGGGGAGTAAAAGACTGGTTGACAAATCAATGAAGAGAGACCACCCACCTGATTATACCTATCTGCGCATTTTTGTGATTGAGCAAAGCAGCGAGAGAGTCAGCCCTATAATAGAACTGAGCTTCGTGATTCAGTCTATAAAATACCAATTCAGCATTGCACTGCATGTTGAACGTAAATGCCATATTAATAGTTGTTGGAATTTAAAGTTGCACTCTCTTCTTACTGGGGATTTAAAATTGGTACGTATTTGTTGGTTTGGAGTTCAAGGCAGGCTATTTCTTTCCCAAGTGTGCTTCTGTAATCTGTCCAAGAGTTTCAATTATTATTATACCTTATTATCGAATGGATGTAAGGTAAGCATGGCTTCATTCTCTGTGTAAAACGTGTAATTATCACCTTGGTGAATTAAATATTGTACATTACAATGTATTGTGTAGTAAGTCAGTCTGATTACTAACAGTAAATTGTACATTACAATGTATTGTGTAGTAAGTCAGTCTGATTACTAACAGTAAATTGTACATTACAATGTATTTTGTAGTAAGTCAGTCTGATTACTAACAGTAAATTGTACATTACAATGTATTTTGTAGTAAGTCAGTCTGATTACTAACAGTAAATTGTACATTACAATGTATTACGTAGTAATTCAGTCTGATTACTAACAGTAAATTGTACATTACAATGTATTCCGTAGTAAGTCAGTCTGATTACTAATAGTAAGTTGTACATTACAATGTATTCCGTAGTAAGTCAGTCTGATTACTAATAGTAAATTGTACATTACAATGTATTTTGTAGTTATTCAGTTTGATTACTAACAGTAAATTGTACATTATAATGTATTACGTAGTAAGTCAGTCTGATTACTAACAGTAAATTGTACATTACAATGTATTGTGTAGTAAGACAGTCTGATTACTAACAGTAAATTGTACATTACAATGTATTTTGTAAGTCAGTCTGATTACTAACAGTAAATTGTACATTACAATGTATTGTATAGTAAGTCAGTCTGATTACTAATAGTAAATTGTACATTACAATGTATTTTGTAGTAAGTCAGTTTGATTACTAACAGTAAATTGTACATTACAATGTATTACGTAGTAAGTCTGTCTGATTACTAACAGTAAATTGTACATTACAATGTATTGTGTAGTAAGACAGTCTGATTACTAACAGTAAATTGTACATTACAATGTATTTTGTAGTAAGTCAGTCTGATTACTAACAGTAAATTGTACATTACAATGTATTGTATAGTAAGTCAGTCTGATTACTAATAGTAAATTGTACATTACAATGTATTTTGCAGTAAGTCAGTTTGATTACTAACAGTAAATTGTACATTACAATGTATTACGTAGTAATTCAGTCTGATTACTAACAGTAAATTGTACATTACAATGTATTACATAGTAAGTCCCTCTGATACAACCATAAATTGTGCATTACAATGTTTTGTTTAGTAAATCAGTCTGATAACTAGCAGTAAATT